ATATATACATACGTTTATTTTTAATAATATCATGAGATAGCTCATTTGTTAGGAAATTTAATTTGATCTTTGATGAAAATAAATTACTGCGTAATTATATAATCTCGTAAGTTTTTAATAAAAGCAATGTGATACATACATATTTATATGTCAACCTCATCAATATCATTTTTATAAGACTTAGCTTTTACGAAAAACGCTAGAAAATTTTTAAAAAGAAAATTTTTCCAACTTTTCTTAGGCAAAAATTGGTTACTAAGCAAATTTGATTACATAATAAGATTTATATTTTTCATCAAAATAATTTGTACCTTATTGTTCATAGTAACTATCGAAGTGGATGTATATAATCTTAGTGATGAACAAGCCGATAACTTTTTCAAATGGCACAAGTTGTTTTTAAAGAAATGGCATTTCAATATATTCAATATCATCTTTTTCTGAGAATCTGTGTCCAATTTAATGAATATTAAACCAAAGACTAAATCAGACTAAATAAATAAGACAAGAATCGCGGACTTTAATCTCATGAACTCAGTCATGAAACATGCAACAAGTTGGTCGCCTAGACAGCGATTTTGAAATTTTACTTTTTCCTTATCCTAATTCCCTATGAAACTTTCTACAAATCGCAGAACGATTTTGCAGCTGGATGTATGAAAAATTGAATTATTTAATACGAGTCGGTTGTAATTCCGGAAAAATCCTCCGATTGTCGTATAATTTAGTAAAAATATCTCAAAAATGCTCCCATAGACAAAACACGAATAATAAACATATATTGAAAAATATTTTTGGCTCAAATATAAAAATTAATTGAAAGAGATAACTAACATAATTCAAATTAATTAAGATAATGTATTAAAATGATGGCACAGTAATTATTTGCAAAAATTTATATATTACGGTATAAATTTCTAATGCACAAATATCTGGAATCCGTATAAAAAAGACATCTTTACATTAATAAGTTAATAATTTTATAACTTAACTTTAATTGAGTTAATTTTTGTTTAAGTAACTTTTAACGTAAACTTAGTTAATTTTTGGGATATTAACTTTAAACTTAACTTACAAGGGAACCTCGCAAACCCGAAAATTCTGATTTTGATGAAACTTTACAGATATGTAGGAGGGGTCAATAGATGAATTTAGAAATTTTCAGTTGCTACCGAAAACAGTTCTAAGGGGTGAAAGCACCCTTCATATGTAGAGTTTTTGCTTTTCTCGATATATCTCGAAAACTATTATATCAAAAAATGTTTTATACGAAAGTTTTATAGTAAAAGCAGCTCTATTTAATCACATTAACAAAAATTTGAAAAAATTATTTTTTTTAAAGATTTCTGAAAAATTATTTTTAAAAAATTATTTTTTCAAATTCTTATTAATGTAGTTAAATAGAGTTGTTTTTACCATGAAACTTTTGTATAAAACATTTTTTAATATCTTGAATAGTTTTCGAAATATATCGAGAAAAGCAAAAAACCGTTAGATACATAAGCGGTGATTTCACTCTTTAAAATTGCTTTTGGGCGGCAGCTGAAAATTTCTAAATTTATATATTTACCCCCTCTACATGTGTAAAGTTTCATTAAAATAAAAATTTTCAGGTTCGTGAAGTTCTGTTTAATAGTTAATACGTAACTCTTGTAATTTACAGCTCGAGAATAAAGAAATAAGATATATATGAAAAAAGGACAGCGTCCGATAAAATTATTGCGGGAAGAATTTATTTATTTACTCCCCTACTTATGCATAAAATTTCATCATAAGAACATCTCTATTATTATATATCAATTTTATTTAAATAAAATATTTATTTTATTTTATCATTTATTTGATTATGTTTTTGTATTCATAATAGAAATCTTGATTATTTTGCTTAATTGAACATGTTTTTCAACTCTGCCGAAGACGGTCCCAAGCCCGTTTGAGAAAAGAGAAGGGTTGGAAAGCCAGGCCAGCTCCTTACCTTCCGTAAAAAAGATAACCTGCTCATAGGACTGCTGGAAAAGCCTCGGATAATGGACAGATTTCACGGAACAACAACACGGCAAGGACACGGAAAAAACGATTATGGAGATTAAACAATATGCGCTTCGGATGCTGAAATATAACATCATGAAGCAATAAAGACCAAGAAATCATAATGGAAATGGATAGACACAAAATAGATATTTGCACAATTTCAGAAACTAAAAGAAAAGGAAAAGGTAACATCAGGTTTCGCAACCACATCCTGTTTCACAGTGGCGTCGATAAAGGAAAGAGAGCGCACGCTGGAGTTGGCATATTAATACACAGAAAATACGAGAACTCCATTGAGGGAGTAGCATATATGAATGAGAACATCATGAATATTACACTAAAACGAAAATGAAAAGATGCACTTTGTAAGTGTATGTGCACCAGACATGAGTAAGCCTCGAGAAGAGAGGGAGGAATTTTTCGATCAACTTCAAAGTGTTATTGACCAACTCCCTATCAATGAAAAAGTTTTCATTATGGGAGATTTCAACGCCAGAATACGGAACATGTGTCCCAGGCGTCATGCAAAAATATAATGAAGAAATCATTAATAATAACGGCGAGATGCTCATAGCACTATGTGCCCAAAACGAATTACGTATAAACAACACATATTTTTCACATAAGATGCAGTACAAGTATACTTTCTCCAATACAAGAGACCAGAATTCCATCATCGATTATGTAATCACTAATAGGAAAGTCAAACTCTACCAAATAATAGACGTCAGGGTATCACATCAACAAATATAGGAACTCAACACGGCCTAGTGCTGTGTAAGTGTCGCCTCCAGGTAACAACAAAGAAAAAACCACCAGTATACATCACAAAATTTAATATAGAGTCGTTGAGGTACGACTCTACGATATACTTATACCAGCGAAGATTGAAAGAGAAAATCAATACTAATTGCATTACAGAAGAGGACACCATAGATATAGCTTGGAATAAAATAAAACTCAATATAAAAAATAGTGCTGCTAAAGCCTTAGGTAGGAGAAGAATCAATATTAATGCAACAAGAAACAATAAACCATGGTTTACGGAAGAGGTAAAACTATCAGCCGAAGAAAAGAGAAAAGCCTACATAAAATACAAAAATAACAGAACTCAAGAGGAATATAATACATACAAAGAGGTGAGAAATAGAACAAATAACAACATTCGTCAGCTAAAAAAGAACTACTGGGAAGGTTTTTCTAAAGAAATGGAAAATGATCTTTATGGTGGACAGAAGAAAATATGGAGAATGCTTCGAAAGAGAAAAAAGCCAGTAAATGAAGAAATGCAAATTAACAATGTAACAATAGAAACATGGGAAAAACATTTCAGAAAGCTTTATGACAAACAAGAACGAAAAGATGACGACGAAAACAACAACACTGACGAAGATGAAGACGACCCAGAAATAGCTATAGAAGAAGTAAGACAAGCGATATTTAAATCAAAAACCAGGAAAGCACCAGGTATCGATGACATCACTAACGAACTTATCAAATATGGAGGTCCGGAGGTCCAGCAAGAAATTACTAAACTATTCCAAAAAATTATCTCCCATGGAAAAATACCGACAGAATGTAGAACTAGTATAACCATACCTATTTATAAAAAGGGATGCAAAAAAGACCCAGCAAACTATAAAGGGGTAACCTTATTGAGCTCTATATTAAAACTGCTAACAAAAATTTTATCACAGAAAATCAAAGTTATATCTGGGGATGACCTTAAATGCAAAATTGAACTGGAAAGAGCACATTAAAAAGAAAAAGGAAGAGCTTAACATTAAATATAGAAAACTGTATTGGCTCCTCGGTCGAAATTCGGAGCTACAGAGTAAGATTTTGATCTATAAGCAAATACTTAAACCTGCCTGGATGTATGGTATCCAGATATGGGGATGTACAAAGAAAACTAATATAGAAATAATCCAAACTTTCCAGAATAAGATACTGCGAGGCATAGTAAAAGCCCCATGGTATATTCGCAATAGTGATCTATACCGAGACTTACACATCAACTTAGTTAAAGACGCTATTAAAGAAAATGCAATCAAATATAACGAACGTCTACAAACACATGAGAATATCGAGATGAAAACTGTACTAGATACAGACAATAATTTACGTCGGCTCAAAAGAATTAAACCATTTGAACTGGCTAAATAGATCACATAATGCATAACCGATAGGGAAATTATACATTAATAATATTCTTACACACGTGTAACTCAGTAAAATAGATAAATCATTAGACGATCTTATGTGGATTGGTATTGATTGTTGAATATATATATAAAAAAAAACAGAAAATCAATAATCGCATTACCATATGCGAAGAACAGCAAGCTAAGCAAGAAACATTAAATCAATATTTTGAAACATTAATTTTATGTAAATTTTTGCAACGTTTTGACATAATGTTTTATAAATATTGTAAATATATTATTTTATAATATGATATTTTTTAATATTATAGAAACGTTTTCAAAACATTATTTCAAATATTTTTCAATGTTATTTAAACACATTTATTAGCAGTAAGTTCAACATAGCTGCAATATTTTTAACTTATTACAAATTTTATTTTTAAGAGAACATTATAGCAATAAAGATTTTGTATTGTTATAATGTTTCTTTTTTGTATTATTTTGAAGTTATAAATTGTAAGAAAGAAATATGATCAAATTATATATTACATTTTATAGAATTTATAAAGTGAGAATTGACATTTATTTGTGTGAAAAATATCAAACTTATAGGTAAGTAACGCCAAAATTTTTGAAAAATAAAGTTATTGAAATAATATATTTTATAAAGCATGTTTGATAAATCTTTGGTGAATCGGCCGCTGGCCATTAAGCAACATTTTGTTTTGAGGATTGTCAAGATTTTGATAAACTTTTCATAAGTATAGATCTTGCTACACTGCAGTGAGATGAAACCTCTGATCCCTTTTCCCGAAATCATACGAATAATTTTCGTATGCAAAAAAGTGACGCTGCGCAATCCCTGAGATTGGTAGTATATTTTTTTAGATCTAGAAGTATATATCAATCAGTGACGCGTAGCAACCACTTTTGCATACAAAAAATTACATATAAAATAATCGAAAAAAGAGAAATTTGGACCGCAATGCACGATAAAAATATAATATGGGTCCTAAGAAACGCACAGCGTTTGCATCAAGATAAGACATTGTCGAGACGGACATGCATGATATGTAATCCTCTCCTCGTGATGAGCAGCGCGTTACCCGATGTTCTTCTATCTTTTGGCAACACAGGTTTCAACAGATTTCTAACCATAGAAGCAAGCACGTGTCTCTGCAATAATTCTGTAATTATTTTTGATTGTGAGTGAACGCAGGAAGATAAAAAAAGATATTAATTATTATAGACCACGCCAGTATTTGGTTATATAAGTGAGTAAAAGAATATTAG